AAAATCCCTCAAACACCATGAAGTGTAGACATGATAGGCTACTTTCCACATTTCCAGCAGCAAAGCTGTCAATTAGGCCCATTATCTTTAACAGGGATCATTTCCTCCAACAAAACAAAATGTTGGCACTAATTAATGGTGCTATTAAGTGTCTGCAAATGATCAGTTTCTTTCTTATGAAGGGGTGGGATGAAAGTTCCACTTCTTTCCACTCCTTTTTGAACAATCTTTTCATTGTCTGTTGTTGTTGCTTTCTTTTCTTTTTTAATGTTCAAAATAAACTTTCAAATCAAAATCAATCAAATGAATTAAACTTCCCGTCATGACTGGGCTGCATTTCTGTCAGCCATCAACAGCTGATTGGCCAGTGGGTGGTGCTTTTTATAGGATCAGATTCAACCCTGAACTTACCCTGCTCCGGAGCAGGATAGCCGTTCAGAGTAAGTTACCATGGTGATCTACCCCGATAAGAACTGAACCGGCTTCGTGAGACCGAAAACCCAGAGTTAACCCTGAAGTTACCTCGCTAAGACATTAATCCTGCTTCGTGATACAGGCCCCAGGTCAGAGATCATTGATCAGATACATGTCAGCTGGCAGTGTGAACAGTTTGTTAGTTATTTCACTTCTGAAATCTTCATGATGTGCAGGGGCCTAAATATAGACAGTGTCAGCAGTGTGGATGCACTGGGGCCCGAGGGGTGAGGGGGCCTTTGCGAAGGATTCAGACTGCTGCCATGGCACTGTACACCTGTGTATAAAAAAATAAATAAAAATTAAATTGAAAATAGTGCTGTTTGCTTTAAAAGACAAACCCATCTTCAACATGATTTTCTTTTCTTCCCTTTTTGGGTTAAAGAAAATTATATGCTATTCTAATTAAACTATAAAAATACTGATTAATCGAGATAAATAGTGACTGCAGGAAACAGGAAACTGCCGGGTTTACTTGGTCAACCCTGAGAGCTCTGCTCTTGTTGTTTTGCAATAAGTAATAACTGCACAGATTCTACCATATTCATATAGTAAAATTACAGAGGCCGTACATTTCCTCTAATTTCTTGTTGTTTAATACCGATGTCCTTTGTTATCGGTTATATTTATGATTATTTTTTCACTTAAACTATCAATAATCATGTTATTATTATTCGACTGGTCACCAGTTACTTGAATGTGCTGTCGTCTGTCATTGAGACGTCTGTGGCTCAGTCGATGTTCAGAGGGTTGTTGGGCAGAAAAGACAGTAAAGCATGTTGACTTACACACTGCAGAATCAGAGCGGATGTAGAACATGGTATTTTTGCCATATTGTATTTGACATACTATATACTGCGACATACTAAATCTTCTTCTGGCATACTATATAGTGTATATATACATATATATATACATATATATATATATATATATATACACTATATATATAGTTTGGTAGTGTGGATACTGGAAGGCACACTTAGTGTCACCGCCCATATTCATGTAACCTGACTCTTCTAATAATTCATAGCTCCTAAAATATATATGTATATGTATAATGACTCATTTCTTATTTTCTTTTATATTTTTGTCATATGCAGGTGTGTGATGATGATTGTGGGGAACATGTCTGCTGATGTTGTCTAATATCAAGATGATGTGATGAGACGATCCAAAGAGCAGTCATGAGGAAGGAGAAGGAAGGAAGGACAAGAGACAGCTATTCTCTTTATGAGTGAGAATTATTGTATTATTGTATTTTATATTTCCCTGCAGCCTCTCACAGTGACAGCAGATCAGCTGATAGACGCAGCCCTGATGACAGGACATGTCCTCACCTGTGCACACGGAGCAGCTCTGACAGGAAGTCAAAGTGTGTTTGCTGTCACCAGAATAACTTCAGTTTATAACGAACCCATCCACAGCAGATGGTTGTTTTTACACTGAGCCTCTGGACAAAGATGTGATCCAGCTGAAAACGTCCTTTAGCGGGACTGTGACGCGTTTTAAACCTTTTCAGGAGAGAAATGATCCGGAGAAGCCGCCGAGCAGCGCTGGTCCCGGCGGGGAGCAGGTGAGGTTTGGAGGCTCGTCGGACAAAATGCAGAGAGCACCAGAGCTCCACATGACCTGGATATGAAGAGACAGCTGTCCGCTATCAGCCCCTCCTCTGTCGGCCCGCAGCTCCGCTCACACCGCCCGTTAGGAGCGATTTATCGGTGCGGAGAAAACACAAGCTGCACGGCTGCACGGACACACAGGATGAGCTGAGTCTCTACGGTTCTCACCGCGCACTTAAAGACTCCGCCTGCTCAGAGCCGCTCAGACTCTCAGTGAGGAGAAGACACCGTCACAGGATCATGGCAGAAGTAGAGACAGCTCCGGCTCCGGCTCCAGCTCCAGCCGCCGCCCCTGCGGCCAAACCAGGCAAGAAGGCGACTTCTAAACACAAATCCAAACCGAAGTCCAGCCCCACCGTCAGTGATCTCATCTGCAAAGCTGTGGGTGAGTCCAAGGAGAGGGGTGGCATGTCTTTGGCTGCCATCAAGAAGTACCTGAATGCAACCGGATACAATGTGGAGAAGAACAACACCCGGGTCAAGACTGCCCTCAGGAATCTGGTGGCGAAGGGGATTCTGGTCCACGTTAAGGGGAACGGGGCCTCCGGTTCCTTCAAGCTAGGCAAAAAGGCCGAACCCAAGAAGTCAGGGAAGGGATCCGCTGCTTCAGGCAGTAAGCCCAAACCAAACAAGCCCAAGACAGCAGCCTCAAAGCCCAAGACAGCGGCCTCAAAGCCCAAGACAGCGGCCTCAAAGNGGGCCAAATGGCCCGTGGCCCTTGCTAATTTCTGACACTGCCACCAATTGTCATATCTCTAGGAAAAATATACTGCCAGGGCTGCTCCGTCAAAACAAAAAGGGTGCTACTGAGCCCCCATGCTGCATTAAAGCAAATAAATAAATAAATAATCATATCAGACAACACGATATAAGACTTCTGAGTTTGTGAGTTTTCAAGCATCCCTTGCCCCTTAAAAACAGCTTCCCTTTTATATGGCGAATAAGGCGTTGCCACGGTGACAGCATTTGATGAAAACTCAAAAGCGTCATTTCTGAGTATCATCGAGGTCTTGGGACTTTTCTCAGCAAATTTGAGGTGGGTCTGATTAACCTGCTGGAAGAGGGACATCAAAGAATGAAAATAGTTGGTTTCTGTTGCCAGCAGGTGGCGCTATGACGGTGATTCAGTGTTGCTCTGTAGATGTTTTCAGGGCTGGACTGTCCTTATGTGTGTGAAGTTGTGGAGGGACGCCTACGTGGAGTCAAGTTACAGCAACTTTTGTCATCATGTCCACACATCAAAATTCACCGCTATGCCACGGCGACACACTTTGACGAAAACGCACAATTTTTACGATAAAGCATCATCAAGGTCTTGGGTGTATTTTTCCCAATTTTGACATGAATCTGGTCAACTTTGTAGGAGATGTATAAAACGTGTAAAACACCAAAGTATAAAACATGACATTTCCTGTTGCCAGTAGGGGGCGCTATAACTATTACTAAATATTGGCATGTAGATGGGGGGGGCAATAGGATAACATGTAGGCTAGCAGTTTGAATAGAATAGAAAGCTTTATTGTTATTATATATCAAATACATTGTGATTATGATGATGATTATGATTTTATATTGTACGGATGAAGATATAAATAAATACATATTTTAGATCTTTGTGGTAAATACAACGTTAGCCTTGCGTTCACAATCGCTTGTTCAAAGCAGAAATAGAAAACTTTTCGACTACGTTGTGCACGCTCGCTAGCTAACGTGGGATCAATAGAGAATATAGTAACTTTCACCACAGATCATTTGAGGAGGACCGCTCCAAGGAAACGTGTTCTGTGTTCAGATGATCAAACAGACGATGGGTCATAGATGTTTGTTTGTTTGTGGCTGCAGCGTTCGCTCACTGAAAAGTCGTCTGTTTCCACTTTAAAATGTTGATTAAAAACGTTGCTGTCTGTTGATACTCTGACTTGGTTTAGTGCTACAATAGATGATCCAGAGGAACAAGACCCGCCCGGAGGACAGGAGCACGAAACCCCCGCGGACAAATACGACAAAGCCTCCTGGCTCTAAACCAAAGCCCGCTGACCCAGGCTGTGATCTGCTCCTCCACTAGAAGAACCAGAGGGAGGTGACGGGACGTCAGCGGGGTCTGTCGGCTTTCCTCCAGTGTCCACACACTCCCGGGCGGTAAAAATTTAAGGCATTCATTTCTTACGATCCAACTGTCAAGAATCTACCATGAGCGGAAGAGGCAAAGGAGGAAAATAGTTGAGTCACCTGAACCCGTCAGTGCCCGCGAGGGCAGAGAGCCCAGTGGCTCCCCTCAGCAACACGCCAGGTGCTCTGACAAGTTCGGCCAGAACTGGGTGCGGCTGAAGTTCACAGGTGAGAGCGACCTTCCCACCAGAGACTATGTCGGTCAGAGCCTTTTGTTTGATTCTTGCTGGATCAATGCCGCAGACATTTACTCTTTCAAATAGAAGAGACTTAGAACTGTGTTTCTTCCAGGAGGATCCTTTAAGGCGCTTCCTGGAAATTCAAGCAGCTAAACATGCTGAGGAAAAATGGAGAGACTGGTCTATTGAATCATCCATACAAACTGATGTCATCACTCTGGTAGTCAAATTCTGGACCGGCAGAATATCCGACCATGACGTTAATCTATATTTACAAAGATACTGCACTATTCTACATTGCACTAAACCACTGGATAAATTTGGCATCTGGAGTCAGAAAGTTACAAGGTCAAGATGCACAAAGACAGAACCGGTCAACATATTGCAATACCAAGTTCCATCTCTCTTGGACCGTACAACGGCCACATCATTTACCCCGGACAGTCATCCAGCTGCTTCATATGCAACAGTACCGACCATCAGGCTAAACAATGTCACACTGTCAAATGCACGGCCCCCGGAGAGTCCACCACTGAGCAGCGTGACACTCCACCCGTGCAGCAGCACCTTCCTGTAGCGGAGCTACAGCCACCAGCCCCTCCTGACGACATCTCTTTTCTGTCAGGTGAGGGCAGTTTAGTTATTGACAGTGAGGAAGAGAGTG